CACTGGTTCTCTGGTTTTCAACTCCAGCTTGTACATCCGGTTCTTGTTTCTTTCCGCCTTAGCTAGCAACGTCCTCTCGGGATCGAATATTCTCATCACACCAGCTTCGATCACCACCTTGCAGCCCCTTTCATCAAGTTGACCCAAACTAATGATGTTAGTTTTCATTTGGGGAATGAAATATACCCCCGCCAAAATCTGATGGACTCTATTTTTTCCTTCAAAGAGGACAGAACCTCTTCCTTCAATTGCGACTTTTGAACCATCACCAAATCGCACTGCTCCCTTCCCCGTTTCATCAAGACTCGCGAACATCTTCCTCGACCCGGTCATGTGACTACTTGCTCCCGAATCTAAGTACCATGCGTCACCTTCGGAAGTTACCGGGACGACCTTCTCTTCATTCAAGTACACCTCCTGTACTCCTTTTCCTTTTATCGACGTCTCTTCAGCCATGAGAATAGCGGGCTGATCTTCCTCTACCTTTGACAGGTTCGACTCCTCCGATGGCCTGCTTCGACAATCCGAGGCATAGTGCCCTAATTTTCCACAGCAGTAGCACTTTACCTTGGACTTGTCTGGAGCTTGTCTATCTCCAGATCTTCCTCTTCCACGGCCTCTTCCATGACCGCGTCCGCGACCACGTCCGCGACCACGTCCTCTTCCTCCTTGCCCTCGCCCTCCAGCGTTAGAGCTCTCGGCCACCTCCTGTGACTTTTGATCAGATTTGATCAACAACACCTGTTGATCTTGACGTGGTGCATAAGCTCGTAGGCGCTCCTCATGCGCCTTAAGGGAACCAAAGACTTGCTCCAATTTCTTTTTCTCGAGGCCACCATACTCCTCGATGGTTGCCGCTAGGTGCGCGAACTTCTCCCGCAGTGATCGCAGCACCCTCCTGACGACTTGAGACTCCTCTAATTTGTCGCCAAGAGCCCTGATCTGGCTGACCAGGTTAGTCACCTTCGCACCAAAGCTATCCACCGAGTCCGACTCTGTCATCCAAAGTCCTTCAAACTCGAACCGTAGAGTCTGAAGTTTCACTTCCTTCACCCGCTCGTCTCCGAGATATACCGTTCGGAGTGTTTCCCAGGCCTCTCTCGCCGTCTCTTTGGCCGAAATATGGATGAAGCTCTCATCATCAACCGCTCCGAAAATGATTGCAAGAGCTGCTTGGTCCTTGCGTTCTTCAACCTCGCCTTCTGCCGTCGGAACAATAGCGCTCCACACACCTTGAGCACGCATATTGGCCTTCATTTTCACCACCCACATAGGGTAGTTTGAGTTGGTTAACACCGGATACTGTAACATCAAGTTACCTTCCTTCACTGGTGTTCCCATCGAGGATGGACTCCCACCAGAGCCTGCGTCCTTCATTGGGGTTGATACTCCATGCTTGCCCATTTCGGATTTCCACCACGAATCACCCGGAGCTCCGATACCAAATGTTGGAATTAATTGTTTAAAACAAAAAAACAGAAAGGAAGAAATTGTTTTGAGCAAATAGTTTGCAGTGTATTATTCATCTGCCCAGATTTCTAATATATAAGCAAGAAAATAACAAATTCCCTACAAAGTAGCAACTAATCATGGAGCCACATCCTGGCACCAATTACTTATTCAAAGGAATAACAAATGCCATAAAAATCTCCTAGAGACTTGGTAGTACCTAGACCAAGTCACAGACACTTACGAAACTGAATTATTCATAACAACCATCGCTGATTCACCGACTCGTCGCTGCGATTCTTTCACTGGAGTTGCTGAACGAGAAGTACACTTTCCCAATTTGGATCATTGTTGTGCGTCTGGCTGGTGCGACGGATTGACGAGGAGGAAGGAGGGGGGAGGACCCGACATCGGTTTAGCGAAGAAGGAGAATAACTTTGCGGCGCAGGAGGCGGAAAAATATATCTATTACCCTAGGGTTTTGTACTCCTTAATTTAAAT